TACGGAGCACCAGCTTGACTGCACTGTGTGGCTTGGCTTGTGTCACTGTGTGAAAAACGATGACCCTGCATCATACTTCACGACGTAGAACTTTATCTTTCTTACGTTCCCATTTCCTATTACTATACACATACAGTACACATTCAGGTCAGTGAACGATTTTTTTGACAGGTTCTGAAACAGCTGAGCATCGACGTAGACCGTTTCGTTCTGCTAAATGTATTCTTCTGCCAGCTACATGACTGCGAGAATAAGCTGTTAATACATCCAAGTGTGAGTTCAGTACGTGTTGTTGCGGGTTAGGAATTGTTTTCGTGAGGGATTTACATTGTTTCAATTTCATCACTAAAAATAATGCTGAAGGAATTGATACAAATCGTGTTCGAAAGCAGTTAAGATTAATTGAAAATCGTATCACTGCGAAATGTATTCTTGCACCAAAGTTATGGGTTGGAGCGCCAGCTGTTAAGGCTTCATTGTATCAGTTCAGTGACTGGAGGTTAGGGATAGTTTTCACGTGTGACACATAGTACTGACATCATCTCTAAAAATATTATTGTCATAATTGATACATATGATAGCGAAACGCAGATGAGAATGTGTATGTTTGTAAATTAAGTGTAACGGATATGAATAGGCAAGCTATTAATATTTCATTTCAAAGATACTCTGCTGTTACTTTCATTACGCTTTTTATTAAACTCGCAATTGACTAAATTATAATCATGGAACGACGTACGTTAATAATATTTCTTTAAAAGGAAGTTTTGTTTAAAAGGAAGTGTCATTTTCTTGCCTTCCAACAACCTAAATTCGTAGATGACAACTTATTCTAGTTGGCGGAATGCTAAAAATTATCTCTAATTATATTAAATGCTTATTATTATGCTAATCATTTCTGCGTGTTATTTCACCGAGTCTCCCAAACTTGTTTGGCATCAGTGACTGACAAGTAACTGAACAGGCGGAATGAACGACTGATGTTCATGGACTGACGATCATGTTATTATGTGAATAATGATGGAACGTTACAGCAATGAGAAGAACTGTGGGAACGAAGAAACGGAAACCGCGGCTCCATCAAGGTCAGCATTTTGAGGGTAACTCTTATGTGCATCACTTTTATCACCGTCTGTGTGGCAGCACTGTGTGTCCATAACATATTCGTACCTGAAGGGCTTGGGCCAGTGACAAGATTCGCTACTACCACCCACAGCACCCTCCCTGGATTTGTAAATGTCCATAATTCAATTTTTCTACAAAGCCCTTCATAAATGCGAACAAGATATGTACAGCAATAAGAGAAGTGACACTTTCACAAAAATCGATTTTTTTTCCAAAAAATGTTTTTTTTTCGCAAAATGTCTCTTAGCTTTTCTTAGGCAATGGGACTGTGACATTCAACGGTAATCCTTCGTTAAGTTTTTGTCATTTTATCTCACAACGTCACAAGGTCAGTCGGGGTCTTTTATCTCTTCGACCAGAGACTCGGCGTTGAAATGACTTCCCAAACGGTCACCCGTCCAGGAATACGTGGAGTCGAGAGTTGCATAACATCCGTGACTTTGCGGACCGCAGTTAAGCAATGCGGCTAGTGAAGACCGCTTAAATTTAATATTAACGTTTACGAATAGCTTGTATACAAATATACTTGTAGTACGCAAACGTTTCTCTGAACAAAATTGAAAATACTCTTACCATACTTCAGTGAAGTACGTTTTTGGCAGTTTGGAAACCACTGGTGTAAAGTCTCTATTTTGTCCATTAAACCAAATAAATAGCATGAACTCTAGTAAAATAAAATGTGTAATTGTATTTGTAGAATTCTACAGAAAAATAGATAAACGATGGTACTGAGTGTTGTTTGATTTATAGCTTGATTTCTTCAATCAATAGCAGGCGAATGTCGCAACAGTACCCTTACAGACGGGCCACGTAACGCACACGATCATTCCTTCGTGTTCCTTGTCCTATGGTCACCCCTTAGTACACACACAGACACACACGAACATCCACTACACTACCACACATGGCGGGAGACCGGTCGACAGCTTAGAGTGTGTCCCGGCTGCAGCGATGCCTCTTTGGTGAGAGATACCTGGTTAAGGAAAACCACTGACGTGAAGGTCAGCACGGGATCTCGCCATCAATAAATTATTCATCGGGAAAGATCACCGTACCTCCCACGACAACACATGCACTACACTTACGGAACCGCTAATGACATTATCCGTTGACGCTCCCGGAAACTCTCATCAATCAATAAACCAGGAGAACATTAGCACATTTGTTGATTCGCATGTCTTTTGTGTTCGCAGTGTTCGGTGGAGAGGCGCGAGTTGCAGACGCGGATGAGGACTCTGAAGGCGACCTGCAAAGTCAGCTCCGGGATTCCAGAAGGTACTCAACACTCAACTGCGTGGAGTTGAAGTCACAATTTAACAATATCAACAGCTCACTACAAAAATTCGCATATAATACATGTACATTATTTTACACCACCTTGCCAGATGACATTATATGATTCAATTCGATACAAATGTTTAAGTCACAAGAAAAGTATTTTCTGCTGCACAACAGTTTCTATACAATTAGAGACTATACTGAGCATCCAAAAGGAAAGTAATATTAATTTTAACAATGACATTTAATGTATTATATATCATTAAGATTGTATAATTGTAAAGAACCTGTAACAAGTATTGTACTTCAGCTTCTAGGTCAATGACACCCATCTCGATCAGGTTTTCGTCCAGTTACCCTGATCCTCGAGCAAATACTGAGATGGCCCCTTGTTTTCCTTCTGAGTATAAATGTATCTTCAAATTAACTTCTTCCCATAGCACGTCATACACAGTTTTTAACTATTTTTGGCGTAAATAAATAAAAAGAATATTTTCAGTATGTGCATTATATTATACGGTTTGTGAGTAAGTCAATTAATTACAAAGTTCAATAATACTTTTTTCTAATCAATGGGATCTTGATTATACCGATAATGTGCCGGTTCATATTTGGCTGAAGACCCCCAATCGACGCCTTAATTATCACTATGTTCATCATTTCATTGACCGTTAGCAGATTTCGGAATAAATCTAATATAATCTAGATGGTGAAAGGAGCATAGTGAAATTCGCGTGGTCAAGACGGAAGACTAACCCTGATGGCTTGAGTCTCGCTACATAAAATAAGGCATTGCTTCAATTGGATTAGAGGAAACTGATCATTTCAGGAAACTGAAAATTGTCACTATTGTGAAACATTCTATACATGTTCCAGCTGATTACCAGGTGTTGCCAATCTATTTGCTTTCTACAATCATCTAGCAAATAGTCCCGCTCACTTTCGAACCAAGCTGAGACGAGTCTTTGTTTTTCTTAAAAGTGTTCGTGTAAAAAATTTCGAAACCATCGCTCTATTCGTTCAAAATGTATTGGAGTATGGAACATACACATTCTACATATTTTCACTATTATATAATGCAGATTACTAGACTTCGGATTTTTTGGCAAACGCCGAATTTAATGTTTCGACGAAGACATTAAAAATTAATTGTTTGTACATTCAATGTCACGATGATATGTCGGGTACCACTTTTATAGTGCCTAAAATGCCTATTTCAGCGGCTGAAGTTGCGCATTTGAACTTTAACAAATTAATTTTGCGATTTAAAAAAATTATATTGGGCATTTAAATGCTTGTATCGTGTCGATTCATCTTAAAGAGATTGAATTCCGTTGTCGGAACATCATCGCAAGCAATTTCAATAACTCCATTTGCAAACCACAAGGTTTCTGGTTGATGTGGTCGTATTTTTTACTATATTTCACATTGCTTTAGTTTAGTTATTCGAGTTCAAAATACGCTGATTGTGTTTCATGACTTTAACCCACCTTATGACATTACATAAACAATATTTTGTAATTGTGAAAGTAGAGATAACGTTGTTGAGATACGTTATGGTGTTTAGAAAAAGAAGAAAAAGAATTCGACGGTTATTACATATTGTTATCATCGCTCGTGTTATCCAAGAATTGCATTTCTGTGAAATGTTTAATTTTCAGTTTCAAAGAGGAAAGCACGTGTTGGAGTGAAATGCAAAATTTAAAAAAATATAATTATCGATTGTATCAACAATGTTGTTAACCACGTGCAGTGATTCTTGCAACATGTAGTCAATTAATAATGTTCTTTTTCTTTTAGGAAACAACGCACTCATACGTGTATTGTTTACTGTGTCAGTGTTCTCATTTCTTGTAATGGTAAGATGACATCAGCATTCTTCAAAGAACGTCTATTGTTCATACAATTCTGTATCAGTTTGGACTCTTGGTGTCATTTAATGCGTAAGACAGGAGTGATCAAGTATCTCTGTTTGATCAATCATGTGTTATCACAACCGGACTTTCCTTTTTCTCTTATCGCTACCGATGACCGTTTCTATTTACAGATGAGCTGTCGAAAATCAAACAAGAGGGACCTTCCAGTGAAAAAGGAAAAGTACGTATACGATAGTTGGTAAATAAGGTACAAAACAAACAGCTTACAATAGAGACTTACAAGCAAGAAACAAAGTGGTAGTTAAGAATCGATAAATCTCAAAAACAAAAAATCTATTTGCCAAAAAAACCCATGTCTAACTTTAACTGACTTTATGAATTTAAATGGCACGGTAAGGTCTCATTTTGAGAAGGGCATTTGAAAAGCTTAGACCATACAAACAATACATTAATAACATTTATAGAATTCAATTTTCACTTCTCCCTGAAATTATGCAGAAGTGATGCCAGTTTTAAACGATTTTTAAACTTTAATATACATAGGTTATTTTTATATTTGAGAATGAATTACCTTCATTCAAAAAAATGAATTTTTGACGAATATTTGTTTGATTATATAAATAACGTATTATTTTACATCACTAAGAAGTATGCTCTGTAGTCACCTAAAATTTAAAATTTTTGAATATGAAAATAATTTAATCTGTTACCTTGTTTCAGTGTTTCCTGGGATGTATGATGGAAGGAATGAATATAGTAAGTATGGAATAGCGTCCATTAAAAATAACATAAAAGTTCTGTGAAAAATTTATACATTCCTTTCATTATTAATTGTTATTCATTATTATTCATTAAGCAGGGACTTCTAGGTCAATGACCCACATCTCGATCAGGTTTTTCCTCCAGTTTCCATATATATATATATATATATAT